AATTTGGTAGCTAGCGAAGAGGCAAAAAACATGGAAAATGAGGAAAAAACCATGTTTTTTGGGCTTTCAAAAGCTACATAATGATCTGTAATGGAGACTCAGTTACCAAACTTTATCAGAAGTTGTATTTTGGTGTATCGATGAACATATTACAATATGGGCTGATTTGAGGTATACGAACATATTTTTTTTTTGACATTTATGTCCTATTACACCATACTTTCTATTTCAAGGGGTTTTGAGGTTATTAATGTCTCATCTGAGTACAGATTTGAATTCTACATCAAATTTTACATGAAAAAACATGGTTTAAAAATTTTTTCTTATGTCCCCCCAGAAAAGCAGAGTAAGAAGCAGAATATCCTCATACCATGAAAATCCAACTTTGAGCCCCTGTAGATCCATAAGGGTTGGACCTAGGGGGCTGTGCCCTTCAGGATTTTCATTGTTCATTGTGTTCTTGAAGAGTAAATGGTTACTTTCAACTTCATTTTTTGGGCCTGCAACACCTGTTGTGGAATAGCCCATATATATGTACGGGATGTACTCGTATATACACACATTCGCTGTATACCCGTGAGAGCTTATACTGCTGCCACTTTACACGACTACGGGGGGTGCATGTGTACTTGTGTATGTTCTGTAAGGGACAAAGCAAGTGTTAACAACAGTTTCGTCGTAAAAGTTAAGGAGTGAGAAGGAGTGAGCGAGTGCACAAGAGGAAGCAAGTGCAACGTACACACACACCCATACACCTGACGAAAAGAAATCGGCGAGAAGTCGCTTTTCTTAAAACTCGCTCGAGCTTGCAGCGTTATTTGTTGAGCGCCAGTGATTATTTACAGTTTGCAGCTGATCTATTCTCCAGCAAGGGTATAAAGTAAATTAAACTTGGTCATCGGAGCTAACTTCTTATTATAATCTATTTCCAAGCTTTTGGTGAAAAAAAAAACAAGCGACCACTGTGTTAGACTCATTCAATTACGAGCACAGTCGTGCGTTAGTGCCTATAGCTGTGTGGGTGTGTGTGGGCAAAGGAACAGCTTTGTACGTATCTACGAGGAAGTCATTAAACCGCGGGCGTTTGACGTAGAGCTCCTGTGTTTATAGAGAGTTAGATATATCTATATAATGTTCGGGGGAGTGGCGCACAAGAGACAAAAGCTCACCTGTGCAGTGTCAGCTGCAGCAGCTACTCACGTTTTCGTTAACCTGCCCCCCGATATATATAAAATGTGCAAATGTATAAACAGCCTCACGTACGAACTTACCGTATACACACACACACACACACACACACACACACACGCACACTGCCATACTCGGCGTATGTATTTACATCAAAATCCCTCCGGGCGCATAGAAGATGTATTAGTTGTGTACGAGTGTGTTGACGTATTTGACTGGCACGCGCAAGACGTCTGTTTAGAGGAAACTGTTGTACGTAGTTGCCGTCGCTGCTGCCACTGTTGTTGTTGTTGTTGTTGTTGTTGTTGTTGTCGGTGTTGTTGTTGTTGTCGGTGTTGTTGTTGTTATTGCTGCCGCCACCCGTTGTTGGATGCGAGACTAAATAGGAGAGGAGTAAAAGGACTTTGAAAGCTACGCTTCGATGTACACGTAATTAAACATGTTTGTGTATATTTGCTCGACCGATTACGCATATACAGATACACCCATAGAGAGGGAGAGAGTCAGGCACGTGCATGTTTGATGGCATTACTCGCTGAGTTGGCTGCTGCGACGTCAAATTAATATGTCACGACGAGTGATTGAGTGCAGACGTATCAATACATCTGAACATATTTTTTTTCTCGACGCTAAAAAATAAAAAACTTTTTATGTCTCTATATAATATTTAATGTCGTAAGCTCGCGCGTACACACGGCCACATATATAGGTACACACATGCACACACGTATATGACGCGAAAAAGAGGAAGAGAGAAAAAGAGAGAGAGGTTAAAAACATGGAGCAGCAGCACGCGATAAGCAAGTCGGTCGATTGCATTACTTGGCTTTTCAGCGTTATGTGTGGCTTCTCTGCAAGCGTGATCTATATTTCAGGCTTAAGATGTCGTTAACTTTTTAATTCCCTGTCGCGAGCGAGTACTTCATATACGTTTCTATGTATGTATGTACGTATGTATGTAATATGAACGTTATACACTGGCATCTGTCTTGCTTATTCAGAAATGTATATAATTATGGTCATTCGTGCAAGCTCGAGTCTATGGACACACACTAGCGGTATAACAAACTCATTAAGTGAAGCACAGTAGCAACGCATATTATTATCATTATTATTATTATTTCGTTGAAATTATATTTGCTTCATGAGAGAGTCAGCTCATGTTCTTGCTGCTTACTTGCCGCAAGCTCTCTCTCTCTCTCTCTCTCTCGCTGGCTCTACAAATGTGTATAACGTACAAGGGCCAAGCTTTGCTCTCTCTCTCTCTCTCTCTCTCTCTCAGAAAGCTCACTGCTCTATGGGTGTCTCTCTGTGTTACTGCATGATACACACATGCACTTTCCATCGTTTGCTGCCGCTGCTGTTGCGCTGCCGCCAGTACTGCAGTTGCTGTTAATTCGACGCCGCGGGGGGTCTTTGGCACAATGCACCCATAGCACACATATATTCCACCACCATCGCATAAATTTGAGAGACAGAGAACTTGCAGCAGTATACTACTACTACTACTAATACCAATGCCACTGCTACCGCTACTACTGCTGTTGTTGACGTTGCTGTGTACACAAAACGTATACAGATATACCACATCCCTTATAGCCGATCAATCGCGTCACGTTCTATATGCATGTGAGCTTGCCTGGCTGTATGCGTGTATGTATTGCAACTGTGAAATGTGAGTGGTTCCTTGAGGCATAGCGTCACACACATGAATCCTGATTAGGTCTATATCAGATTATGTACACGTTAAACTCGAGGCTAAAAATCAAAACCTTGAACTAATTTAAAAAGCTTGGATTATGTTGTAAATATCAAACACTGACTTTATTTAATTTTGCAACATCGATAAGTTTAGTGATAGAGTGCTATTGGAGTGCTTGAAATTTAATTATAATGTGTTACAATGTAAGAATATTATTTTACTTTCACAATCTATTCATAGATGTACATTGAGAAAAATTGGAATTAGTATGAATAATTTGTAACGAAAATATATAAGAGGACAGACCACACACACAACAAACATCAATGAATTTCATAGACATTGTACATCGAGCAAATATAATATTCACACGTCACGAAACGTCGATACTCGTTGGAACATTTATTATGCATCTATTATAAGCGCAAATTGGTTTGTGCAAACGTATTGCTTGGCTCTGTGCGCGCACATCGCCAGACACCGATGCTCCCGCGCGCACATGCCCGCGCGAATTTTATCTCTCTTTATTAAATGCGTGCATGCCTCGTATTACCAAGCGTATGATATAATTTATCTTGTAAAAAAGAGAGGAGAGAGAAATAGCGCATCGTTCGTCGAAAAATTACACGAGCAAACGATGCTGATGTATAAATCCGCGCTAATGTTTGGGCGTTAAATTACGCAGCTGTCTGGTTGGTGGCGGGACAAAACGCAGCCCGCGCGGATTGACGCATTTAATTGATATATATCGGGTGTAACACGTCTTAGACTTTCATTCATCTAATATATCCAGGCAAGCAACATCGTCGGAAGCAATAATATGATTTGCTCTTTGTCGGCTGCGCGTGGCAGACAACCGCCTGCTGCTGCTGCGACGGCATCTCGTTATATTATAGGAAAATGAAAATTTCTATTGTATTTACTCAGTTATTTGCCGGGTAAAATGTTCTGTCTCCCGCTTGGCTAGCTGGGACAGAGAACGAGTGAGAGAGAAAGAGAAAAGAGAGTGAGAGAGCAAGAGAGTCGAGCGCGCAGCTTTATTGCACCGAGGATAGTTTGTGAACTCTTATTGCTCTGAAGCATTGTATACATATTAAACGCGTACATAATTAAATGCTACTTGCTGATTCATAGTCCCCCCACACCCTGTGGCACGTATACAAAGTTTGCTCGTACGCAAAAGACGTTGAGCCCTGTAAACTTTGAATCCGAATGATAGCATTAGGCCATTCGTCGGTCGCATTCATCGTGTTTTTGTTCCCATGGCTCAAGAATCCTTTTTTTCTGATCACGCACACGAGCCGTAGGATTATTTCAGTCAGATACAGCTGCAGGTTGTTTTTAAAATCAGCGCTGCATGCGACGGTGTAGTAACGACTGAAAAAAGTCACAACTTTTTATCAAGTGAAATGTTCTTCGAACCAAGTGTGTTCAAAGATTATACTTTTAACGTGCCTATTTTATCGAATGTATCGTACGGCCCTAACAATGGCGACATGTTGTAACGTCGAGGATAATGAACCACCCGATGGAAATCTAATTAAATCGAATTTCATAGAATTTGTTCTATCATTACACATTTCACGCATCAGATTTTTTGACGGAAAAGTATGGCATTGAAAATAACTCGAGCTTTGTACAATCGTAGATTGAACGAAAGATCAGCTGCTACTGCTGCTGCGAGCGCGCGCAACAACGAGCGTAAAAATAAAAGAGCCTTTCTCTCTCTCGCTGCACAAAGAATATAAGAAAAAAGGCTCGAAAAGATGGCGTACAGGACGACGTTGCAATAAAAAGGAGCAAAAAAAGAAAATCGGAACGACCCAATTTCCGAATCAGAGCTCCGTATAACCGTTGAAAATTTCCTCCGAATGCGCAAGAGAGAGAGAGAGAGAGAGAGAGAGTAGTAGACTCGACCTATTGTTGGAACACGATGAATCGTGTGCACACTGCTGTTCTCGCTGCTACTCGCGTGTATACGTGTATAGACTGTACAAAAGTCCTCTTAATCGCGCCCTTTACGCCCCTTCACATTCTCTCTCTCGTACATAACTCTTCCTTTTTTGCTGGTCGTATTTTTCAATCGTTTCCCTCGTTTTGCGTGTTACAGAAACTGGCCACCGGCTGCGTTGCTGCTGACGCTGATACTGATGCTGCTGGACAAAAGCATGGCAGCGCCCGAAGCAGCTCGACACAGATCGGCCGCCGCCACGGGCATCGGAGTGGATGTGCCGGCGCCGGTTCCCATTGGCACGACCGAGACGCTCTTCCAGCACTTCGCCATCGAGCCGATGGACCAGACAGCCGTCATCGGGAGCAAAGTCACGCTGCCCTGTCGAGTAGTCAACCAAAGGGGACCCATACAGTGGACGAAGGATGACTTTGGCTTAGGTTCGGTGAGGAACCTTACGGGCTACGAGAGATACGCCATGATTGGTAGCGACGAAGAGGGTAAGTCGATATTTTTGTCTTTTCAATTTACTAATTATCGCGATAACCAAAATCGTCCCACGTCGCGAGGGCGTGCATTTGTCGAAAATTTAATGTACCGTGTCAGAGTTGTGCAGCCGTTGGCTCGATCAATAGCACAACATGTACTGTTTGAAAAACACCTAAAAAGCCCTACAGCGTACACGCAGACTGTATACAAAGTTCATTGAATACAAATCTGTGAATTAATAAAGTTGAACGTGCAAAATACGGTCAAGCCTTTGACATTCGCAACGGTGCAAACTGGTCTGCATATGTCCGCGATATACTGACTTTCACGAAATTACAATACAATGCCATGAATTTTGTATACGTATGTTTTTTGTAGCAAGTGCACAGAGGCCTACGCACGTGGCATACAAATTTCTAGAGAACTACTTTGTCATTTATTTATGAATACAAGTAAACGATCATTGTGTAACGCTAAAAAAAAAGTAAAAAGAAACGAGGACGACCCATTTTTTAAATATTATCGTTCGCTACATAATGGCGTATCAACGATGTCATGCGGTTCTTTTGCCCTCGCTTTCTTTCATTGGTATTACTATTATATGAAATTGAAAGTACATTAATGCAGTATCGACTTAAAGAGACAGGAGAAAAAAGAGGGAAAGGGAAAAATCTGCGGGATAACTCGCAATATGGTATTAAGATAAATATTACCTTTATTAAGTTCGAGGGTAAGGAGCCACGATAAAAATAGATTTCCAATAACTTTGGTGCTCAGTCACTGGAAAAGAAGAAAGAGAGAGAAAGGGAGAGAGAGGGTAAAAAAGGTCTCCATTCTTTTTTGCCTCCTAACTCGCTCTCTTTCTCTTCATTGCCCGGCGCAGCGCGAGAGTCTTCCGTTGGTAGAACAAACTACATCTGCCCTCACGCCCTATCTCTCTATTTTTCCTCATTTTATTACAAGCGATTCTCACACGTGCTCCAGCCGATTTTCAAGCACGTCACGATCTCGTGTCCGTCCTTTTCTATTATTTCACTTTTATGGCAACTGCTGCAGCGCGGCTACCTATTACTACTGCGCTGCTGCTGCTGCTGCTGCTTTTATATGAATACTTTAATCGACGCGCAGGAGCACGACTTGATTACATAGTATAGTATTACGCGCGCATTGCAGTCTGAGTACTGTGTATACGCTCGACTCGACGGTATATAGGCAAAGTCGAGTTTTAAATTCACGCTGGTGATCATTTCACCTGTCGGTTATGCCGCGCATGTACAGCGCCATATTTGCATTGTGCTGTTACGATAAAATCAAATTTATTATCGACTAATTAACGGGTGGACTGCGCAATTTTTACTTTTTCTTCTTTCGTCTTTCACGCGCTGAATCTATATGTATGTATGCGTTCGCGCATAGACACCCGACGCGATTTTCTCTCTTCCTCTTGGTGCGTACGCAGCGCTTGTCGAAATGAAACTCTTTTATAACGTACCATGCCACGATAAAAAAATAAACCCAACGAAATTACTCGATGAAATAGCGACGGTGAATGAAAAAAAAGGAAAAAAAGGAACGTCATTCGCAGCGAGCGCGCGTAAAAAGTCAATAAACTCGCTGTTGCTGCTGCTGCTACTGCTGCTGCTACTACTGTTACTGTCAAGAAAAAAGTAAAAAGGCCATTCGCATCGAATCAAGTATAAACATTTGAAATCGAGTTTAAATGCGAGTTTGTTGTCGAATTACGCAGCGAGTTAAATTTGAAAAATCTTACAAATATTTCCAATTGTTGAGTATAAGTGCCATTCGAGCTTGTTATGGCTGCCGCACGCGCGAGTATCAAAATTACCTTTGAATATTAAAAAAAAATTGTTTCATCAATTACTGCTATCCGATATGCTGTTGCAGGACGAGCGAATGCAGGTCAACTTGCGCTCGGCATACACGTATGAAATAGAGAGCAACGCTCAATCTATAGTTTGATAAAAATGAATCGATTCAAACGCGTACGCATACACATACATAGCGATGCGCTGTATTTTTGCTCCGACATACATCTATAAGCTCGCACGCGTGAAAATTGTCATCGAAAATGTTTATCGTCGGGGCGCACACACGTACTGCAGTGCACCGAACTGTCAGGCGGCGGCGGTGGCGCGGCGTATTACGTAACTATACCTACGCTCAGAATATACAAACTGCAGGGGAATATAAACGAATTAAGTTATCTCGTTCGTATGCGCTTGCATACATATATATATACGTATATGTATGTGCTGTATATAAAACGTATATACATACATATGCAGTGCAGTGTTCGAAGTGGAAGTTAACGTCACGAGTGTCAGAAGCAATTGGCACCACCCGAAGCTCGCGCAGAACGCGCGCCGCCACCCCCCGCTGTTATATACGCGCTCTCCTTTTCCAAGCGGAAAAAGAAAGACAGTAAGCTCACGCTGGGCAAGCTTTCATCTCTGATTTTAATTCCGGGCGCTTATAAATTATGCTTTACACGTTGGAGAATTGATAGGGTGGCCGCGTGCACGGGCACCTGCAAAAAGCTACTTCTGCGCGCGCGCGTGCGAGCGGCGAGCTCGCCTGCTGCTGATGAACCAACTTCAAACTTGTTTGATGTTGGCGAATTAAATTAATTTTAATTAATGTCGACGTTCGCGCTCCATGAAAGCCAGCTTCGAACTTTTTATTCTGCTCGCTAGAATCGGCGTACAATATATCGACGCGATACGAGCGTACTCTCTGTCGAATAAAAGGATTTACATAAAAAACTCTCGATGCTGAATGAAGTACCGATGGTAATTTATATAATGCGAAACTTTGCAAATTGCTGATTAAGATTGCGTCTTTTGGTACTGCGCGAACGGTTATAATTTTGACTCTGGCAGGGAAATATGCAAAAATTATACCTACGTGATTATTTTCATTATTCGCGCTTATATGCTAATGATGATCAAACAAAAGTGGGTCAAATTCGTATGACTGCTGCACGCGTATACGCGATTTTAGTAGATCAAGATTTGATAAGTTCGAAGAAGTGGTATAAATAATACAAAACGTATCGCATGCGACGTAGCGAACTCCCATATAATCCATACGTATTTCCTCCTAAAAAATAGCAATTTCAAGCTCATGGGTTGCAGCTCTCCCTCTAGCACTTATATTATTATGGCCGTCGCAGCCGGCGATAAATAACATATTGTCAATGTCGCGAAATATATGGCTGCGAGCTGCAGCACATATATATAGTATAAATAATGTCTCGGGCGCGTAAAATGATAGATCATACAATAGATATAATGGGCGACGCGGAAGGAAAGAGATGAAACTAATCCGCGATGAATTACGCGAAATTACGATAAAACCTTTCCGTGTGCTTAGCTCTATAGATTGCCCTACGCTACATTTGACTTCCTGGCGCGTTACGTACAGCAGAAATCATTCAAGAAGCAGCAGTGAGACGTCTTTTCAAAGCGATACGACAGAGCTTCGCAATTGTTAGAAAAAAAGGGTCAAATGAAATCTTCTGTGAAAGAAGTAGTGAAGGACTGCAGTCGGTCCATGTACACCTTTGCGACGTTTAGATTGGTCGTTAAGAGTAATTGGAGTCAAGGTGTACGGTGTCGACGAGACTGCGAGTCCAGATTTTAAGGACGGCAATACCGGGCTACAAAGACGCGATGCTTTTTTCATCTCTATTCAAAAATTTCGTTGAAGACTTCCTGCGCTCTCTACGGCTGATAACGAGCCCTATATCATTTCTATTATACTTTAATCTCGCTCGTTGCTAGGCGAAAAACGATTTAATTAGTATACAATAAGTGAATAAGTTTTACAGCAAGCTTGAAATTAGATAAAATGCGTGCGCAGCGCTACAGCGAATAGGTCTTGCATCGCGCAAAATGTCATTACTAACTTTGCACGCTGGGAACTCTGGGCTGGCGCGCGCGTAAAAGAACCTATTGAAATCGGAGCAGTACATTTCAAGGGAAATAAAACAAAAGATATGATAAAAAAAAATCACAGACTCAGCTCGCGCGTATATATGCACTCGCGCGCGCGCGCTTCGTAGCGTCGAGATAAGGAGATACGAAATGCAATACTCAAAGCAAATTTATTCATCCGCAATGTACACTTTTATCTTTTGTATATTCTCTTTCAGCTTCGCAAGCACCAAGTTGTATGTAGTTTAGCAGGCTCGCATAGTCGCGCAACACACAGACGCGCAGCACAGAGATATCACGCGCAAAACCTCAAAACTTCCCGCGCAAAAAAATGATTATAGACAAGTATCACAGTAAAAAGTTGGATAGTTTCAGTCGACTCGTCAATCGTCCACTTGAACGCGAATCATCACTATTTAACGGTGCGTACATTCGTACACGGGGGACGAGAGGGTGATCTGCACTAAGACTTCGAAGCATCGAAAAAAATATCAGCGAAAACTATTAGAGAAGTAAAGGCAGGTTGCTGCGGGACAACAAAGCCCGGAGCGCGTCCGAAGACTCGGCAATGAAGCATGCAAAACGCGGGGGCCACGAGTGATGCAAGAACCATTTAAATACACGCGCTCGTGCGCGAGCTTTGAGCCTCTCTCCCTCACTCTCTTTCTCTCTCTCTCTCTCTCTCTCTCTCTCTCTCTCTCTCTCTCTCTCTTTGCCTCGTTAATTATTTCACGTAAATTCAGCGAGTTCATTAGTGCGCGTTAGCGACGTTGGCTTCTACCTGGTAAAATTATAAACTGATACAACATTTTCGATCGTACTGCATATACGGGCGGTACGTATACGTACCTACCCACCCACGCCCACATATACTCACACATAGCTGTGATTTATATGTATACCTCGTGCACACGTATTCACGTACACACATACACAGGCGCATGCACGTATAAAGTCTCTAAAGCAGCAGAAGCGATACTAATTTCAACGAAGCGAGTTATGGCCGCTATTACATACCAACGGGGGCCAATTGCGCCAGAGGCCAGAGTAGCAGCAGCAGCAACGCAACAAGAGCGGAAGCTGCTGCTGCTGTGGCCCTAGCTCTTATCGACGCGGTCTCTGATTTACTATGGCAATAAACGGGACTTTAATTACGGCTGCGCAGCGCGCGACGTTTCTCTTATGCTCTCTCCCTGCTTGCTGGCGACCGAGCTTTAAAGCTCTGCTGCGTTTCTGTCCTTTGCACTGCACCCAGGCGCAGGCCTCGAGCCTCTCTCTATATATGCTATGCCGATGCATATTATGGCTCACATACGTAATACCACTATTACGCGTGCCTTGCTGCTTTTTCTTTCTCGCTTTCTGTGTACATTCGAGAGAGCAGAGAGAGAGAGAGAGAAAGCGCGAGAACGAGCAAGAGTATGAAAAAGGTTGTAAAAAAGATCTATGCCCGTACGTGTATATTAGAGGGCCAAGAGAAATTTCTCGCGAAAAACTTGCAGGCGGCGAGATTTCGTAAAGTGCGCAGCTTCGTCTACGTATACGTTCGCTCGCGCGCAATGAATGATTACCTCGATGCAAGACCTTTAAAGCTCCGAGATGGCTCATGAGTATGCCTTGCACAAGTGCACCAGTAACACAGCATGCAGTTGCTGATTTTCGCCGCTTTTCTTTTTACTGCTGCACGGCTAGTAGTCATTGGCGCTCAACGTAAGGCAGCAAAAATTGCACTCGAAATCATCACCGAACTGAGAGAGGCTTAATTTTATAAATTAACGACGAGCACGTCGTTCTAAATTTCGAGAAAAAAAAGTACGCTACAAATATCAGTAGACCGATTTAACCTGCGATAATTTTTCAAAAGTTCAATGTGTCAAACCTTGCGAAAAAGCGTGCAGTATATTGACAGCGTTTCTAGCGACAAAAATTGAAAATAACGAAAAAAGGAAGCTGGACGCGATCAATTTTCAAGCGTGCCGTATCGGAGCCATCATTGTACATCGACAAGCGCATAACTCATAAAAAAATGAAAAAAGAGAGAGAGAGAGAGAGAAAAATCCAAGGCAGCTCGTATCGATTATCGTCCTAAATTTGAACATTAAAAATAATCGCGTTAGAGGCTGCTGCCGAGCGCCCTTATATATGACGAGATCGATTTTCATTGCAACACAACAAAGACGTCATATATACGCGCGAGCGAGAGCATAACTGGAGATCAAATCCCGCAAGAAGAGTCCCCAACGACAACAACGAGCAGAGACAGACAGACCTTTTCATTCGACGTCTAGAATACTGCTCTCTGCTATTATACGCGTTTTGATATTAGCGATATGTCTGGCTTTGCTGCTGCTGGTGCTGTTGCTGTCGTGTCGCTGCTGCTGTGCTTCGGTGAGACATTCACACACACACACACATACACACGTATATAAACGTGAGAGATGTCGAGTAGTGCTCTCGTAATACTCGTATGGTTTGTCCGACTCAGGTGGCGTATACAATGCACGCGGCTACGGTATCGACTCGACAGATATTATGAATACAACACGTTTCGCATGAGACGAGAGAAAACGAGTACAATAAATGGAAAATGATGCGTTATCGATTCGATTTGCCGCTTCTAGTCCGTCGAGTCGCATACGATACACTTGAAAATGGGAAGTTTTAGAAAAAGGAAAAGCTTTATCGGATTAGCGTGGAAATTTTGATGGGCATTTATTGTACGCGACGACTTATGATATTATATATCGACTATATCTACAGTGCATAACGACATCGTTACCTGACTAGACGTCTCTGAAGTTTGGCAGTAGTAGCAGCAGAAGCAGCGACGGCAAATAAAAAAAAGGGGGGGAAAATAAACTCAACAGCTCGCGTCTATAAGCTGTCAGAAGTCGGTAAGACTTCATACGACAAGTATGAGAAGGTCTACGTTGCGTGCTTGTATATATCGCATACACATGCACAAACGCAGCAAACAACCTCGGTCCTATATATATGCGTGTAAACTTTCCTCGTCGAACTTTTTAGTTCGCGGATTATGTGTATACACGGGCGCGCGATAAGTCCGACGTTACACTTGGAAATTCGCGAGCGCATATGTTATACATCATATTGTAGGGGTGAATGACGCTTATATCGCCGAAGCGATATACTGACGCGCTTCCTCGATTTCATCCAAATTCTCTTATATAGTACTTGCATGTGTGTGTGTGTGTGTGTGTGTGTGTACGTGTGCGCGCGAATGTGTGGAGCGACCGAACAGCGAATAAAAAAGTTTGCCCCTCGACTGCAGCCGAGGAATTTCACGCGCCAACGTATCAACGTTATACACTGCACTCCTCTTTCTCTCGGAGCTCCATCAGTACATCGAGCTCTCTCTCTCTCTCTCTCGAGCCCTCAGGGAATCTCAACGCGAAGAATAGTAAAGTATAGAAGGAGCAGAATGGATTTTTAATTACCCCGAGCTTTAACTTTCGACGCGCGCATGCGGAGCTGCTGCGAAATCAGTCTGCAACGTACGTATGCGCACATGTGTGTGTGTGTGTGTGTATGTGTACGCTGCTGGGGTGAATATACCCAGAGAATGAAGAAAGAATTCGGCAAGGCTTTTTATTTATGCGCGCCACGGTATACCGCCACTCCCGCCAGTTTCCAAGTACTTGATAAAAAAAAACCTGCAATCGACGTGGCAATTAATACTTTGATTTGCTCGTAATAAAAGACTTTAGCGATGGGTGCAGCAAAGAACAGCAGAAGGGGGAGGGCGAAGGGGGTATGAAACGTGACTCTTTGCGCTAATTGCGCGAAGCTTTGAAGAAAATCAACGAAGAAATGAACTATACAAACATACAGCGGAGTCGCTCACACACACTGCTGCACATACACACAGAAAGAAAAAGAGGAAGAGAAAGAGAGAATTTCGTGATCGATTACTTTGCAAGAACTAGAAGTTTATTGTGTGTGAATTGAGCTCGTGTGCGGGTCGATTGAAGAATTGCTTCGATTTTTTTCTCATTCCTATATATAATACAGCCAAATGCACACAGCCGTAATAGTTTTCTTGCTTTGAAAGACAAAAAGGCCAGTTTATGCGTTATTAAAACTGTATACGTTTTATGAAAAAGTTTTGGCTGACTATATATAATGCCCCACTCCACACACAAAATACGAGGGAAGTTGAAGAAAAGCAAAGTTTTTTTCGCAATCATTGGTTAGAAGTCTTAAAAGTACGCTGTGCGGAACGGGTAAAAAAAGGACCGGCGCGGAAACACACTTCGAAGACACAGCAGTGCCACAACCGTCGTGCACGCAGTACTGGAGCAAATTCGACGAAGCTTTTGAAAGAGATTAAATATATAAAATACATTAAAAATCGATTGTACTAATGGAACATGCTGGTACAATTGTGCATTCAGCGACTAGAAGAAAAAAAAATGTATAAATCCGATTTGTCTCGACCAAAACTACCAAAGGCCATTACCTAAAAGGGACAAAGTATACAAAGTGTGATTCACATAAATATACGTACGTACATAGAAATGTTTTAGATACGGAGGCAAAGACGCTTTGGGGTTAACCGTTAAAGCTCGGGCCAAGCCGATTGTCCAATGCGTTTCGTCGGCACCTACAGGGCTTGTATATTATGTTTGCCGATTGCACAAAGTTTCAGTTAATGTGAGTCTGAGAGTTTCATCGAGATGAGTACAGCAGAAATCAATTTGGCCATCGAGAGTCCTTCGAAATATCGTGGCAATGAAGAATAGATGCAAATTCTACAAGATCCTTTAGTTGAGGTAGCGAATTACAAGTACAGAATTTCTTTATAGAGAAAAATTCGATGATTTGCATCGTGTTTCCTTAGAAAAAAGGCAAAGCATAAAACACATTGTCCGGATACTGTAGTGAAAAAATGCATATCGTAAAAAAGATATAGGAACGACGAGATAGCCAACAATCGGCCGACAGGGGGTGGGTAGTAGGAAAAGGGGGAGGAAAATGCCGATCACCTATGCAGGGGCACTAACACGGGACGAAGTTAACGCGCGAGCCGAAGCGAATCGTGTGTAATAAAATCAAATTTGTATCGATTGTGCGGCGCGCAACTGTGCGTGTATGTGCCGCACTATACGCCGTGTCCTGTCTCTGTCTCTCTCTCTTTTCACCGAACATTGCCCTGCAACGCGATACACCCATATCGTTTGAACGCGAGCAATTTCTCAGGGATCCCTTTGGCGCGTACGCTACGTTCGATGCGTGCAGTACTACGCCGAGATTTTGCGCTCCATGCTCGCGCGTCGAGGGGGAGCTTTCGAATAATATCCAAGCACGCGTCACACGCTTATGGCTGGCTCCTGGTTGCGCGCGTATACGGCGGGGAAAAAGGATTAATTATTTTTGAGCGAAAACACGGGTAACTTGTTATGCACGCCTTGGCTTCGCCAAAGTAAATTAAGGTTTTCGCTCGTAAGCTCTCGAAGTACTCGACAAACTCTTACTTGCCAACGAATAATTAGTATATTACGAGTAATTGGTTAAGCTCGAAATATGATAGAGCTTTCAGAGAGAGAGAGAGAGAGAGAGAGAGAGAGAGAGAGAGAGAGCGGATTTTCGATTCTCATTGAAAGTGGAATTTCTCGCTCACGCTAATGAACGTTTTATTGTTTTCTGTATTGCAGGTGACTTTTCGCTACGCATCTATCCAGTGGAGCTGGAAGACGACGGTGTGTACCAGTGCCAAGCGTCACCGACGAACGACGGCCAGCCGGGCCTGCGCTCGCGTTTCGCGCGTCTGAGCGTGCTGGTGCCGCCTCAGAAACCAAAAATCACCCAGGGTAAAAAGCTCATTACTACCGAGGACAAGAAACTCGTGCTCGAGTGCATCAGTGTGGCGGGAAAACCACCAGCAGAGGTGAGAACCCTTGACTATACTTGTACTCTCCCTCTTTTGTATGTGTGCTAGTGTGTGTGTGTATAAAAAATATATATAGTTGCCCCTTTTCATTCTCTCTAACTCGAGTGTATAATTGCTGGAAATGCGGCAAGATTTACACTTGCTTTTACTTTTTTCTGCCCTCGTCAGTGTCAAGGTTTATACAAAGCAAAACTATTCAGACTTTGTTTCCAGCTCGTCGTAGCTTTTGTACAGCACCGATGACATACTATATTTTTTGCCTTCCATCTTTCACAAGCCACAAAGAATCGAAAATTTTCACGAGCCTTTCTCTCTTTGTGCATTGAAAATTGATTTCATTAGCCACGGACTATTTCAACTCGCTCGAAAGCAAAAGCGCGTTTATCTCTGAGCTTGTTAGCATAATTTCTCGACCGATAATTCGATTTTTTTTGTTTTAATTCTGCGTGCATTGTAAGTAGTTCGCGAGAGGGAGGGAGGCGCGCATTATTATCGGAACGGAACGAGCTTAAATAATCACCATTGCCAGCGGCACTCTCGGGTACACACATACATACACACACGCACAAGCGTGCGCAGTGACGCTATATAACTGCAGATAAGACACGATAATTAATCCTCTGTATAAGTAGATATGCAACTCGCTTTATAATTCAACTCTTTTTCTCGCTCTCGTGCGCGCATTATTCTATTAACACTTCTAGCTGCCTGGCCACCACTGCGAGCTTGCGAGGCTTTTTTTCACCAGGGTCATAACGAATTTATCTATCGATGAGAATATAACGCCTAGGCAGGGTGCAAGAAAAAAATAAAAGCTCTTTTCGAAGCGTCAGCCTCGGTCGTTTTCCCAGCTGTATAGAAGGTGTACATATATATTGGCCGCTCGGCTCGTTGTTGATATTGGTTATACACATATATACTATATACGCGTTCGTGTACGTATAAATATCGTATATATACGTAGATTGGAGATACGGGCCGCAAAGGAAGGAGCGATGGAAGTAATTTAGGATTGGGGCTAATCCCCGCGGTAATCAACGCTCACTCGCTCGCTCGCGCACCCGCGCTCATATATACACCTATGTATGGCGTGCAGTTCTGTGTGTTTGTGAGAGAGAGAGAACGAACCTCGAAGAGACGCCTCCGCATCCAGAGCGAGAGAGAGAGAGATAGCGAGAGGCGTTGTGTATCATCGGCCTGAGTCATTTTAATGAATATATACGAATACGCCGATTGACTCGTGTATAATCGAAGCGGGAAAGCTTCGCAGAGTAGGCGCGTCAAAAATATGCCAAGAGTCTATTTAGATTATAAGCGCGCGCGGGATGTTTACGCACTTTGATTTCCGCCAATGCCCGAAAAGCCATTAATTGCAAACGTACGCGCCTATATAAGCTGATTTCGTTTGAGAAGAGGCGGAGAGGCACTGCCGCGCGTACATTTCCGAGAGAGAATTATAATTTTAAGTACACACCCAGCTGACTTCGAGGGGGGAAGGAGGAAGAAGAAGCGACTACTTTCTCAGGCTCGCTACTTTGTACTTAGGCTCGCAGAGCTCTTCTGAAGTGCACGGAATTTTAACGGCTCCGAGCCGTGCGTATCTGCGGGCGTTCAATTTGAATCGGATTATATACTCTTGACCCTTAATCGCCGTCATCATTATCGTTGTTCGTCATCATCATCATCATTAGCATCAACAAAACATTTTTAATTGATGCTTTTAGTCGTTGCAGTCGTTGCTGCTTTTTTCGTGTGTGCATACGTGTGTGTCGTTTCTCGAGTAAATCCACGCCGGGGCTTTGTACGTCCATTTTTGCTTGTCGAAAAGTGCTTCTTAACCCTCGACGCAGTAGTCGTCGTTGTAGTCATGTATGCTAGACTCGACGCGTTTTGGCCTTGTCACATTGTGCATGCACGTCTGAAAATCGACCAAGGCCTCCTTGTTTGTTCTCTTTTCTCTCTTGCTCTGCCTTATCTCTTAAAAATTGTGTACTACTATACACACATGCACGTAGAAGTAGCTGCCGCTCTGGAGGCTGCAGAGCCCAGTATGCGCACGCTCGTGATACATACGTGTATTTGTGTGTATATGTGTGTGTGTGTGTGTGTGTGTCGGTAGAGTGCACGTACACGGGGACAATTGTACGGGCTGGCGCACTTGCTTTGAGCTTGAAGGCCACTTACGACGACTGCGCTATTTAAATCTCAGTGTCGTTAAGGTCTCGACGTTACTTCTGCCTCTGCTGCTCCGTCGAGTGGTCTTGATTCCCCTCCTTCTATCTTCGCCTTGGCGCATGTGTGCTCGCCGTATGTGTGTGGGTATGTATGCATGTAGTTTAAATACAATTAGGCCATATAATTACAGAGAGCGAGAGAGAGAGAGAGAGAGAGAGAGAGTGCAGACCCCCTCGTGTAATTAGCGATGTGTTTGTCCTCCCTTTCCCTTGTTTCGTGCTGTACATGCCCTGCACACTCTCAGCGCGATAGCTTGTGTCTCTGCGTCGAGTCAACGACGACTTTTCTTCATAGCTCTTCTGCCTCGTCGTTTCTCTTCTTCTTCATTATTCATAATCCACTAATTATTTCGGAGTTATACTGCCGCTGCTTCTGCTGCCGTATCTTCTTCTACTTCTTCGGTGCGCTATACAACGTCGGTTTTCATCGTTCTAATGCTTACGCCTGCTTCTGTGTTGCTGCGTGTGTGTATACAACCTATTCTCGTCGTTATCTATCTTTCTCTCTCTCTCTCTCCTTTTTCATTCTTGTTCTCTCACTGTGAGCTCATTAAATTCCATATTGTTAGCTGCTGCCTTAGCTTGCAAGAGCTACTGCTGCTACGCGTTGCTTCTTATTCTTTTTCTTTTTAGCGTTATCGCACGTTGATTCTCTAATTTATATTAGGAAGATTTACCTACTTGGAATTAATTATAAACTTTTTTCGCTCGCCCGGGTAAAATTTTACCGAGCTACGCCATGCCTCGAGACTGCTATTCTCTCGCGCGCAAAACGTCCGAGTTTGCTCTTTAGAAATGATTCTTATGCGTCGTGCTATGCTCACGCACGACTGATCGTGACAAAATGAATCATCACCTATACGTCGACGCCAAGTCGAGTTTGTGCCCGAGCTGGATAGGATAAGATTTCTTCTTCTTCTTCTTCTTCTTCTACTTCTGTTCTGCTTCGAGCGAGAGAAGGCGACGACGATGGCGACAGCCGCTTCCCATCCCGTGTCGCACGTTAGATAAGCTAACGCGTGCAGATGTGCGAAACAATCTTGTGCCAGCGAGTCGGACGATCGTGTCGCTTTGAAACGTGTACATAGAACAACGTATGTGTGTCTCTCTCTCTGTATATACATATATAGGACACAAGAAGCGAGGATTTATCGCCTCGGTGAGGCATCGAATACTCAATGAGCCACACCGCACTCGAAACATTCCGTGCGACCGTGCGATATAAATCGACCTGGCGTTTTTCCTCTTTCCCTCTCCGCTCCGCCTTCCTCTCCTTTTTTATTCCCTTTTAAAGACGTGTAAATGTACCGGAGCTTATATTAACAAGGGCAGAAGAACCAGTTGAAAGATTAGTTGGGATATATTTTGTACGTAATTACGATGCAATTAAGCGCAGCGATTGCGTCGCATAAACGCCGCCGCTAGCGCCGATTCGCCCCGACAGCAGTAGCAGTAGTAGTAGTGGTAGTAGTATATAAGGCCATACTGCGCACAGGGTGAAAAGAATTAAATGCCACTCGCTTGTTCCGCTCGCTCAACAGTCGCGAAGCCGCCAATTAAACTAATCCTTCTGCTATGCTCTTCCCCGTCGACGTGAATCCACGGCCACGCGATATTTTCCTTGGACGAATTTAAACCTTCATCAAGCTCTGCCGGTGACGCGCAGCGCTGCTTTGTTTTACTGATTTCCCTGCTCTCTCTTGCTCTTCCTTTCTCTGTTTTACTCTCATTTTGCTGTGATCTGCTTTTGCATTCGATTACTTTTAGCGTATTTCTTCATTGAGAATCGAAATTCAAGAGAACTGCGCGAGTAAAAAAGAAGTAAGGAAAAAAGATCCTTTAGTATGGAGCACGTTTGAACTTCTATGCATTATCTTTGAAGCTAGAAATATTTTAATGACTAAAAATACACGTACTTTTTTGTAATCACTTCAATTAAAGTATTTTAAGAATGGCATTTTATGCAGTGTACTTCTTCGAGGGATTTATGCACTATCGAGGAGGAAGCTTTAATGTGTTTTACGAGTGAATCGTATTACAAAAACACGGCAACTCTAGCTCGCTGAACAATTCCAAAATAAAAAAGAAGGGAATGAAAAAAATTCCGATCGATGTTACGTAATTTGTCCGGTGCAGAAAAATGAGCTTGATCGATAAAGCCGATATAGTTTTTCAATCTCTTCATCACTTTTAAATTACCTAAAAATCAGAGTACCCTGAAAAGTAAAGAATCTACGTAATGACACTGGTCATATTCTTTTTCAAAGTGAATTTCTGTCACACGATAAAAATTCATTTTCTGTCTATAGCGTGCGACGCGCGTGTGTATGCGCAAATGAGAAAAAAGATCTCGTTTGCGCATACGTCAATATCATACCGACTATATAAGAGATGGCGAGAGAGAAAGAGATAGATGCAAAACTTTATAGGAACCGTGTGCGCAATTGAAACGTCAGTTATACAGATAAAAGTTAATTTCTCTTACCTCTGCATCTCTCTGACTATTTTTCCGGCTACGAAATTCTTTTTAAGTTACTCCTAGAGCGGAGACAGGAGAAAACGTGCGCAATATGCATGTATAGCGATATCGATTGCTGCCGAGTGAAAATCTTTCTCACTCAGTCCCATGATCCGGGAGAGGCTGCAATTGAAAATTATGGCAATGTCGTCCTATTTCAGAGTGAGAGAACCGAGAGCTACTCAGCGAGCTATCTGATACAGATGTGCTCGGTAAGCGAGCGAGCGAGCGAGCGAAAGAAAGAA